CCAGCCAATCTAGCCCTGTGGACCTATCCCGTGACTACCGTAAAATACCGAAGGAATACCCACCCCAATTTCACTGAAAGCTGGATTAATTTTGACGTAGGTGCTACTCCGGTCAAATCGGGTGCTTAAGGGGGCACACCCCCTAGGGGGGTCAACTTTTGTACCCTTGCCTTAAAATTAATGAAATTTACAGGGTAGGCTGGTGGTCATGCTAGAGGGTGTATAACAGAATTTCAGGTCTGTCGGTTAAAAGAGAAGGAAATAAGAGTAACTTTTATCAGCAACACGCCTGCGTTGTTTAGTTAATCTATCGTCAGAAAACTATTGCGATATTAAAGATTTTTATTTGCTAGATATGTAGCAGAATGCCTAGAGGGTGCGGCTATGGAACGTTTTTTCTAAAAAGTAATTAATTTCTATAAATTTTCTCTTCTGCAAAATTGGTCAACTTTTTTGTCTTCTGTGCCTTCGACAAAATGCCAACATTTTTTACAAAAGACATCCGTAAAGTGACAAAAAAGTTCCATAGCCGCACTCCTTATTAAATTTCAGACAGGAAAAGGGAAGAATGAGCTTTTCTTGTTTTGCCATTATCAAACGATAGATTGACTAAAATGGAATTTATACCAAAAAGTGGAACGGAGAAAAAGGTGTTCAAAGTGCTCCAAACCCTACCTTTTCTATAGCTTTGGTGGACAGAAAATAATTTATAAAAAATTAACTATGCAGTGATAATTAATGAAACTTTTTGGGAATACTCTCTGGATGTTGGTGGATGTAAAGATGCCATTTTTCAAAATCAACTTTGTTTGCAGAAATTTTTTTTTCTGGGCAGTGTCTCCCCTTAACGTATAATCTGCAGAATTCCCAAGTTTAGAATATGTTAATAGTGGGCGCTTGAGCGAAGTGGGTGCTTCAGCAGTATTTTACGGCATGCCTCCCTGTCATCACTGTGCCCCTCCCAAAGATCACGCGACACTCGCACAAAGTTGGATTGGTTTCAATGGCTTGTAGCGTCTGTTGCGGTCTATCGCAAGATGAAACGAAGTTTAGTAACTGCAGTACAGAACACTTATAATGTAAGCGCTTATACTACAGGACCGGATATAACGCAGATTTTTTCAACCACCAGTCTGCCTCCCATACAACTTGATATGATTACATACCACTTAAAATGCAGGTGCGTGAAGGGAAATGCCGATTATAGTGCACTTTCTAAAACAGCTGGCCGACCGACCGGCGCAGCAAGCACGCTTCTCTGTGCGGCACCAGATAATGGCGCAAGTGGCACTCGTGGGGGCAAGGATGGCAAGAAGGTTGCACGAAAGAAGCAAGGAGAAGCAAAGAGAGGCGAGAAACGAATGACAAAGCCGCGAGGTGCAACACATGCACATGTGTGCTCAACTCCAAAAGCCTCAACGAGCCATCCAAGCCCAATCCCGGTTCCCAACCTCTCAACTCTGAAAGCCCCAATGAGCCACCCAAGCCTTTTGCCCTTTCGATTTCACCCCTCACTCAAGTAACACAAAACCAACCTCCTTTCTTACATCGTGCATAAAACAAAGGCTGGATAGCTGGATAGTTTCTAGTTTAGCTTTTTGCAGCTTGCCGACTTGTTCTCACGTCTGATGTTTGAACCGCGTCAAGCATAGCGTACGGAAATCGATTGTCCATCGCCGATCTGTCTCTCCCTCCCAAGCCTAAGATGGCCAATAGTAATAAATAATTGGGTTGTGGGGATATTTATACAGCGTGTAGTTGGTCAGCCATTTAAAGTTGCGACGAGTCACACGCTGTAGATGAGCAATTTAGCCAGTGCAGTACAACCGCTAACCTGGGGTCTTTAACGTGCACCACGCAGTAGTGATTACCGACCGCACGCCGGTACGATGCTCATCCAGATCGAAACGGGCAGGGGTGGGGCTTGAACCCAGGATCCCTGGGTTCTGCAGCGCGAGCTTTCGCTCCACACGCGTCGAGCTGGGTGTGCGCTTCAGCCCACTCGGCCACCGATCCCCCCTCTAAGATGGCCAAGAAACGACAAGCAGTGTCTCTTGAAACTAAACAGGGCATTGTCAAAGATGTCGAAAGTGGCACGAAAAAAGCCTCCATTGTGGCCAAGTACAGCGTCGCTGATACAACGGTTTCCACTGTCTGGAAGAACCGGGGGCAGGTACGGAAGCAGCTACAGCAAGATTCTGCATCGTCCTCAAGGAAGAGGATTCGTGCGCCAAAGTATGGGGACGTCGACGAAGCCTTGTTTAGGTGGTTTCGCAAAGTGCAAGCCAAGAATATCCCAGTGAGTGGCCCGATGCAACAAGCGAAGGCTAGGTCCTTTGGACATCTGTTCGAATACGAAGGTTTCAACCCCCTCAACGGATGGATCCAGCAGTTTAAAGACTGCCACAGGATTAGCAGCAAAGTTATCTCGGGTGAAAGTAGGGGAGTTGACAAAGCCAGCAATCAGGCATGGTTTCGCATTAATCTCAAGACGGAGCTTTCCGCGTACATGGACAAAGACATCTATAATGTCAATGAAGCTGGTCTATGCTACAACACGCTTCCAGAACACACTTACGCGATGAGAGGTGAGCCCTGTTCCGGCCGCAAAGTCTCAAAGAAACGTGTCACGGTTTTGTTTTTGTGTAAACATGGGCGGCTCCAACAAGTGGCGCTTGTTTATCGTCAGGAAATCAAAACGACCCCGTTGCTTCAAGAAGCGAGAATGTTTGCCTATGCTGTCTGTAAACAGCAAATGAAAAGGCCTGGATGACCCAAGAGTTCTTTGCTAGTTGGCTGAAAAGTTTTGATGAGGTCATGATTGCAGAAAAACGGTGCGTCGTTCTTATCCTGGACAGCTGCAGCGCTCACAATGTGCAGCCGCAATTAAGCGCAGTCAGTTTGAAGTTCCTGCCGGCAAACACTGCTGCTAAGAGCCAGCCTCTCGATCAGGGCGTCATCGCTACAAGAAAGACATATGCGAAAGAGTCGTCTTGAAATTGCATTGAGAGGAAGCCATCAAGGTGGACTTGAGGGGCGCCATCGACATGATCACCGCATCGTGGTGGCAAGTAAAAGCCACAACCATCCAGAAGTGTTTCCGTAACACAGAGGTTTTGTGCACGATGCCAGGAATTTAAAGGACACCGATCAGCGCAGTGATGCAACTGACGAGGCGATCGGCGCAAACGACATGTGGTCCTACCTTATGGAAAACCATTTCGTTCCGGCAAACGATATGTTTCAAAACTATGTAGATGACGATGACGATAATTCTGTTATCCGTGAGGAAGCAACCACTAATGAAGCTATTGCTGCAGCAGTGCGAGGTTCTGGGGCAAGTCCACCCGAAGATGAGTCGCTCTAAGACGAAGAGAGCAGGCCGGAAGTTTAAAGTAAGGACGCACTGGAATTCTTACAGAAACTGAAGGTTCACTGTGAGTAGAACTCCTTCGGTGATGAAGTGTTCAAGTGCCTTAGCGTTATCAAAGACCAGGTCGTCTACAACGTCATTAAAAGGCAGCACCAGGCAAGAGCAACTAATTTCTTTGAAGATGTGCAACACGCTTGAGAGAGAAGTGTACTAGTCTAGTGAAATAAGAGCTTTCCTCAGACTGAGCTTTATTGTTCATCTAACATGAAATAAATTGTTTTACAGAGGTAAGTTGTTTCATGACATACTTTGACTTGAAAAATTTATGTTTTGGTCATAGCATGGTACCGCTTATAGTGTGTATTAGACAATTATTTAGCCTACATTTGCATGTTCAACATGCACATTCCGCTTGTTGAATGCTCTCGGGGGGAAATCTGAGAGAATATAAAGAACCCTTCCTCCTAATACAGTATAGACCACTTACAACGTAACCGCTTATAGTGCAGGACCGGGTATAACGCGGTTTTTTTAAACCACCGGTTCACCTCCCACCGGTTCGCCTCCCATAGAACTCCATGTAATTACATACCGCTTAAAATGCAGGCGCGCGAAGGGAAATACCGGTTATAGTGCGGTTTCTGGCACAGCCCGCCGACCGCGCCGACGTCCGGAGCAGCGAGCACGCTTCCCTGTGCGGTACTAGATAACGGCGCTGACGGCGCGAGGCAAGGAGGTTGCTTGAAGAAGCGGGGAGAAGCGAGGAGAGAGGCTTCAGTTGCCATAGCAACGGAGGGACGCACGCATGTGTCAATCACGTGCGTGCGTCCCTCCGCTGCGCTGGAAACAAACAACCATAACGACAGACCAATCGCAGGTCGAGGAGAAGTGCTCGCGCGCGTTGCATGCCGGTCACGGGCCGGCTGCTTCTATCTGCAAACATGGTGTCAGTTGTGATTGTCGTCGTAGACGGCGTTCATCTCATCGTTCCGCGTAAAAGCGCTATCCTTGACTGTGAATTTTCGTTGCGTGTCGCTATGATAACCTAACACGTACTAGAAGGGAAGATCCACCTACTCGTGCGGCGATGTCGTGGCGGCGCTCTCAAGACAGCAGAAACGCCCGTGTCATTGTGTTTGTTTACTTCGACTACAGTGGTGATTTCTAAGCATTTGTGTCCTCGAACATCGCCCGGATTTCTTATTTGGCGCATTTCATGCGTGTGCTCAAGTTCAAGGTATTACTGGCGCGTACCGTATGAAGGACACGAATTTTCACGCGTTTTCATCTCCGGAGAAAAGTGATTAGGGTTAGCAATCCTGAACGCTCGCAACGTCCGTCCACAACCTGCGACGCCGTTAGGCTGCGCCAGGCAAAAGCCGCTCATTTCTTTCAAAATGTGTGACACACTTAAGACAGAACTGTACTAGTCTGGTGAAATAAAGACTTTCCTCAAACTAAGCTTTATTTTTCATCTAACATAAAATAAATTCTTTTACAAAGGTAAGTTGTCTGATGGCATGTATTTTGGCCTGAAAAATTGATGTTTTGGTTATAGCGCGGTACCGCTTCTAGTGCGGATTTTCGCGACTCCCACGACATACGTTATATGCGGTCTACACTGTACCTGCAAATATGCATCCGGCAGACCACATGTCTATGGATGTGGTGTACAGCTTGGCCCCAAACAGGACGTCGGGGGGTCGGTACCATAACGTCACAACCTGGGACAAACGGCAAAAACAAGGCAGAGCGGTCAATTGAAGTGACCACCCAGACATCATGCAGAAAGGCAAGCCGAGAAAGAAGATAGTACCACGTACCTCGGCTGAGTAGCACCTGACTGGAATCCCAAACGCCCTTGCCAAGCCAAAATCTGCCAGCTTCAGCTCTCCATTCTAACAACGAAACAATCAGAGATGACAACACACTTGAGAAACTTGCCCGAAAAATTGTCCCCGTCACTTTCTAGGTATTGTTTTAAGAATTTTCACACAAATGTTTCTTGACAAAACACAACACGTGGTCTTAACCCGAGACCTGGACTGCGACAGGACCCGAGATAAAGAGGAAATGCAGGGTGTCTATAGATGCGAGTTTGGGCGGCAGGGGACCACAGAAATGTCCCTAATCTTCTCCCATTATGCAGCACTATACTATTAGTTTCAATGGTTAATTGATAGTTCAATCAATTTGTAGGCATATAAGCCTAAACTGGCATCGCATTATGGTCATCACTACCTCGAACACATCTGGTCTTCATTTTAGTCGCAATATTAAGCTTTGAAGAAATTCAGTTCAGTGACCTTGGAGGCATAAGTTTGAACTGGCACACACAGTAGGATGTACCAAAATGTACCAGATACCTTTACTACAGTGGCGGATTCAAGGGGGGGGCGGTGGGGGCGATCGCCCCCCCCCAAACGCCTCGCCAGGCAACTTCCCCCCCCCCCCCCCCCCCCCCCCCGGGGTTCTTCGTCAGCTCGAAGAAAAAACATAAGCAATCGACGCGAGAAACAAAAGATTAAAACAGCGGTAGGTGGACGCGCCTGCTGGGCGCTTCGAAAGTGGAGTTTATCTCCATCAAGGTCACGGTACGTCTTCCCGACAGGGACGGCGCCAGGAGTTTTGAAGTGGAGATACAGTGGGGAGGCGCACCAAATATCAGGGTCCTCGACTGCAGGCACACTTCCAAACAAGACCAGCACGTCGAGCACGGGGGGGAAAATACCTTCAACTTATCCAGTCCCCTTTCTCTCTCTCTCTGTCTCCCTCTCTCTCTTTGGGGGTTGTCTGCGAAAAATTTGTGCCCTGAAAGCTCCCAAACGCAGACGTCAAGCAGCCTTCCTCAAGGGTAGCGGATTATCCTTCCTCTCTAGCGGTTGCCTTTTCATCACTTTTCGTTTGATGGTTTCTTCGTGGTTCTGGGCTTGTCTTTTGGCATGTCTTTTTTGGCTTGCTTTGAGATGCTGTCGCCCACGGGCTCACTAAAGGTATCTTATTGGCACGGCGTGCTCATTGCCAAGGGAAGTGCAGAGGGGACGTACCGGGAGGAGACATTCCAGGGGGGGGGGGGGCGGGGTGCAGCTTGTACAACCAGTCAACTGAGAGAGGAAGCAAATGCTCTGGGTACAGTCTAGTCTGGGTCTGAGCTTCTCCTGAAGATGCTCCGGACTTCCCCACGACCTTGGCTTAAACATAAGCCCGCTTTCGTCCTCGCCTCCATCCCTCACTGGGGATCAGCGCCGCAGCGCGGAATACAGAAAGAAGCCGACGAGCACCAGAAGGGGGAGATGTTTCCTCTAATGGGCTTCATACCGCGTGCGGTACAACTTCTCGTGGCGGGAAGCTAATAAAAGAAAGAAAAACGGTACGAGCACTCTAAAGGCTGGAGGCTGCTTACACGGGGTCCTCAAGCCGACGCCGTAGGCATTTATTTGTATACAATGCCGTTTCAACTTAGGGTGGCGGGACATATTTTAGGAAAGGCGCCCGCTACCCCTTGTCTTCCCTTGGCGCCGTCTTTTCCAGTTAAACCCGGCTTCTGTGGATTGACGGCAGAGCTTTCGTGCGGCTTTGCAGGAGCGAAAATGTGTGTCGAACGGACTTGGGGAAAACGAGCCCTTTCAAAGATGCGGCTATACATAAATTAAATAGACAGTGCCTGTGCCCGTTCGAGTGAACACCGACTCCCAAACATCCATGCTGCAGTCGTGATCGGCCTTTAGCCCAGTTGAGATTTGCCGACCTTACAACCGCTCTGCCCTATCATATCTCTGCACCTGTCCTCTTGACCCTGACGAATGAGCTAACTACCCAGAAACAAGTAAGTGTTCCTTTGATACAGAAAATATCCAGACGAAGTGCAATCGAATATAATTTGGAAGGATTCATTGCTGGTTTAAGGTCTTGTCTAAGTTCAAAAGTTATAGTTGCCGAACTGCAACATGCTTTCAAAAATATTTAACAATTATTCGCTTTCGTTCTTTCGAGTTGCATCCAGAACACGTGAAAACACGAGTTTGGGTTGGCAATGCCGCATGTGTTGCGCTCTGGACATTCCAAATACACGGCGAACAACCGACGAACTTGCATGGCAACGTTCGTTTCGCTCGCTGCGTCAGCAGTGTTTTGACGCCGCGAGCAGCGTCGAAGCCGCCGGGCCATTTTTGTCGCTTGTTTGCAACGTACTCGCTCCGCTGATTTAAGCCGCTCTTCCCGTTGCCGCAGCAGTTGAGCATTAGCTCCAACCAGAATGTCTGCCAAGGCAATGTCTTTAAGCTGCCCTAAATCGACTGCTCACGTAGTGTCGGTCTGAAACACAAGTTTCAGAAAGGATAGTGTCCCCACAATTTTCGAGATACTTACCTCTAGCGTGGTCACCCGAAAGGTTTTAATTCAAAGAGTTCATCCCCGACAGGTAAACCGATACAAAAGCTCTCCAGATCTATATTATGTTATCAGAGTTTAGTAAAAACGATAACTATCCCCCCCCCCCCCCCCCGCCATTTTACACCGAGGAACCGCCCCCCCTAAAATGGAGGTCTGGATCCGCTCCTGTGACTATAGTTATGTGGCATACAATTCAGGGTAAATGCATTTATAGTTCCCAAAATGAAAACTCTCATAAAGAAAAGCATTGCATGGCGTGCTTTTCCCTGTCTCATACCTTGTTTATGAGCAAGTTCTGTGGCTTCAGATCCCGGTGCAGGATGTTATTGCTGTGGCAGAATGCCAGCCCACGCAGCAGCTGGAACATGAACGACTGAAAGCGTAACAGTAATGGAACCTTTTTTACACAAGGTATACAGATTACAGCAACCAAACAGGCCTATAGCTGCAAATAAAAAAAATCATGACCAACACATTTTTAAGATCAGACCAAACCAAAGCTGTGACTTCAGTAAAAGAGGCTGTGCAGAATGTAACTTAAAAAGCAAAGACGAAACACAGCGGAACAATGACAATACAAAATGATAAATAGAAGCAAGCAGGGCAGTCCACACATCACAACCAGTCACCCAAAAAGCAGCTATACGGCCAGCAAGTCAGTCAAAACGCGTCTCTCGACCAGGCTACCCTCCCGCAGACCCCGGCTGCGTTCAGAATTTTACTCAAATGGATTCGAGTTAGTCCGGCGGGGAATGTCCTGTGAAAACACAGCTAGAGTAAAGCTGGACATGTTTAGGTATCAAAATGCCAAGGTACAACACCTCCACCTAACAGAGAGATCGAGCAAATTTTGGAGCACTTTTTGGAGCAGCCAAAAGTTCATTTTGGAGCAGCAAAAAGAACCTTTGGAGCAGAACCGTGAATTTCGTTTGAATTCTATCTACTGGAATAACATGTTAAAAACGTTGAGTATTGGCCTATCAAATAAAAATAGTGACTTCTTTGCCGTCACACTGCTATGCAACTACTCATAGCCTCCTTGCGCTATAGCCTTCTTGCAATGTAACTTTCCCAAAGCACTGAACTAGAAGTTCAGCCCTGCTTAAAAGCACCAGACACGAAAATAAAATATTCATGTGTGCTTTTTTCCTCTAGCAGCAGCTGCATCTTATTTAAATTCCAAAAGTTGCAATATTAATTTGATTTTTATTACACTTTAAACGAAGCTTTAAAAATTATAGCATACTTTTTGCCTCTGGACGGCTTTATGGTTATTCAAAATCTGCATAGGAAATAAACATGTTTAATTAAACGAAATTCAGTAGATTTCGTTAAGTCTACTGGCAAGCTTTCATTTGTCCAAAGCCAAAGCTAGTATAATTCTATTTTAAACTACTTATCTATTGACTGCAACTTCAGAGTCAAAGCCCTACAGGGACGTGAGAAAAAAAATGAGGGATCTCACACAAAAGGTAAACCTAAAATAATATGTACTTATACCTACACGGATATGCGTCAACCCTCTCATATATTCAAATATTACTTCTTAAATCTCGAAGCTGCAGAAACAATCACGGCCCGAACAATAATGTCCGCAGCTATTCAAGACAATGCAGTCGTCCGTAATAACCGTGATTTTCTTTTGACAACTTTGCTTATATGTTCCACCGTCATATCAACATGCGCCATATTCCAGAGTTTTGTTTTCTCCGAGATAATGTCTGCATTGCAGTGAAGCACAGCATGCAGAATCACCATGCCCCCAATATGGTTGCTTCTCCACAGTGCACCAAAGCCTATTGAGAAGCGCACTCGCCGGAGCTAGCAAAGCCGCCCAATCTTAACTGTCGTGTATGATACAAAGGTTGAATCGAAATAGTATGTAATGCAAAACCAATATTACAAATCGTCCAAAATAGGCACCATCCTACTGTAACAGCCCGGCAATGTACAGAGATCAGAATTATTAGAGGGCAGTCAAGAATCAAAATTAGCTTTTGGCACAGCGTCGACACAAACTCATCACATTGTGATGAACTGTAGCAAGATGTAGGGGGCGAGCCCATTGGCGCAGCTTGGCGCATTTGGCGCAGCAGTCGCATCACTAAACATGGCTTCTGTCCTCTCCCGTGAGTAGCAGACAACATCTTGGCTTTGAGTTCTTTGTTCGTTACAGCTAGTCCGCTAGTTATTAGTCAACAAAACAATGTACAAAGGCAAACGCGTAATCGTCAAGTGCTTCATATTGGCGGTACCACGCATGCATCATGTTGTGTTTCGCAAACCCATTTGGCATAGCGCGGAAGCTGCCATAGCCGGCTTCCACGACACTGCCCAAAGCGGTCAACGATTGCATGTTTAGCTTTGTATGGACCGTGACTGTACCCATTGCTATGACTTGCAGATGACGCCAGAGATCGGCAGCTCGACGCCCTGATGACGCGACAACCTTTGTGCAAAGAGCAGATGAACTTTTGCCTAGCTTTGTGCCTACTCACCCTATTATTCTCTGATCAAAGCTCAGGTGCTAGAAGTTCAGCCTTTGTGTCTAACCACTACAGCTTTCCAATCAGACTGTGGCACTGTGACATTAGGGCCGTCTGCGCAAGAAGCAGACAAACTTACTGACTGTATTCAGCCTCCCTAATCAAAGCGATTAACAAAGCTCACTTTTGTTTACATGTGTTGCACCTCAAAACCAAACCCATTTCTTCGATATGTATGTTGACCTTTCAAGTTACCGTAAGATCAGTGGCAGAAGTGTCCCCAAACATGACATTTGGCAACAATTCCTCTGGAGGCTTTTAGCTTCTTACTTTTACAACTTCGAGGTCGATTTCTCCGTTGAGGCTGTCAAAGTATTTCTTCAGATCTTGGTCGCAGTGTTCAAACACAAGAGTCAACTTCTTCTCACTGTGAAGCACGTCATGTAACCTAGAAAGCAAAAACAAAAAAAAATTTGCTATGAAGAGCTGAAAAAACAATAGAATGACACCTTTTTTTGCAACTTGGACAGAAAGAACCTATTCGCATCCGCTGACATTTGAGAAATTTGTTGGCTGTAATCTTGGACCAAAGCAGGGGTGATATGAGCAGCGAACAACACCACTGTAAGCTCTGAAGACCTTCGTTCAACCCTTATCTATCTATGGTTTTAAAGGCATGCAACAAGGATGAAAAGGCTGTACTGGCGGTTCCAACCAGTCAGCACAGTATGTATTTGTTCAAATATAAGTCTACCTTTTTTTTTTTCGCATATGTTGTCAAAAATTGAGGGTCGACTCATAATAGTGACCAGAAAATTTCGACCTACATTCGTGACCAAATTTCGGGACCCTACCGAACGCATGGAGCTATCGAGTTACCAAGCCTATATAGCCATACCGCCGCACTGCTTCTTTTTTCAAAAGGCTTGTGGTGTGCACTAAAACCAAAAAAGTGAAAGCCGTTTACAACTCCCTGTAACGCCGAAATAGAGCGCAGCTCTTGAGGAGGAGGAGGGAAGGGTACTGAGGGGATGTTAGACCACCCCTCCTCCTCCTCCTTTCCCTCATTCTTGAATATGCTCCGGGGGTCACCTGACCTCGGGGAGAGGGGGGGGGGGTCACGTGACTTCGGGGGGGGGGGGGGGGTGACATGACCTCTAAGGGGGTCACGTGACTTGGGGAGTCATGTGACCTTGGGTGTCACATGACCTTGGGGGGTCACGTGACCTCGCGGTTACGCCGACGACGACGCCACTCAAGCCGGAAACAGGCGCCCAAGAGCTGCACTCTATAACAGCAGCAGCAGCGGCCTGCTGTGGCTACCGCTCGGGCCCATCCTTTGGGCGTCAGGTTTTGCATAAACTCACCGACTTTACTTTTACCGACACGACACGCCACACACCTTGCCCCACTGCCTTGCCCCCTCCCCAGAGCCGTATATTAGGAGAGTTTGGCCAATGGGCGGAGAAAAGGCCACCACCAGCGCCGAACATTCCCCCTGCGGTTCGAGCGTAAACTAAAAGTAATGACGCAAAGTCGACCAATCAGCGAACAGCGACGCCACAATATTGCAAATGACAATTAAAGCGTGAAATAGAAGCGCTCAATCTCGGCCTTTCGGTGACAATGGCGTCAATAGCAAATCAGCAGCAATGATCGCAACTATGCAGTTTGCTCTGGTTTGGAGCACACACTCGTTTATTCTACCGTTGATTATGGACATAATAAAAACCTCAAATGCGCCAAATTTTCAGTCACCAAGAGTTATACCTTTTTACTCTAGCGATGCTAAAATGGCTTAAATTAGTCAAGTCACATTTTTTGAGCTCCCAACCACCGCTAGGGGCTGTTTCACGGACTGTGATTGGCCACGAGATTCTTGCCTATTCAAACCAATGAATGATCAAACTCTCCCAATACACGCCTCTTCCCCTCCCCTCCTCCCCTCTACCCTCACAGACTCACAACAAAACAAAATACGGAGGTTACTTTCGCTTCTTGTTGCTCACGACGGATTGGCTTGCACCGGCTTGCGGCGTTGCTCGCGTCTTGGTATGTGATCTTTTGTCGCTTGGCCTGTCTCCAACTTCTTTCGGTTCTCGTCGTCATTTTGCACCGGTGTCATAGAGGTTTTGTTCTTAATTTGTGAGGATGTCGACGAAGCTGACAAGAACGATGACATGTCCGGAAGTTCAGACAATGATTAAACTTTTTTTGGTGTCACGCTGTGATTTAGCTGGGAGTGCTGTAAATAAATATTTGTTTCTTTCTTTTCCCCAAACTTTCTTATGTTCTTAAGAAAAAAAAAAGAAAGATTAGTCTATATTTGAATTTTTGTTTGTTTTATTCTTGGCGAGTTTAATATAAGAACATTGATCTATATTTGTGGTTGACTTATACTATCTAAGTAGCACTTAAAGGTATTACTATATGCACACCATAGTTTCTGATTTCGAGGCTAGCTTCAAATGAGGAATGAGCAGAAGTTACCTTTTAATATTGCGATGCAATTCCAAAACAGACGTTCCCCTCAATGTCCATTGGCTAAGACAATTGTTTAGAAACTAATGACTGATTGTTTAAATTGGCTCACAAAAGTGCACTTTTGTGCAGGTTTGGGGTTCCGTCATATTTTAGATATGCACGCTGCCTGTAAGGAAGCCTGTACACCCATGCATGATGATAAAGTTCCACTTTAGTACAAGACCCTAACGTGACCGCATCTCGCACTAAACAATTTTTATGTGTTCTCAACCAGGCAGTCAATGCAGAATTTGATAAGCCATTCAACCCAGTCATTGCATTAGCACTGCTTGCAAGTTAGACGTGGGATGTTACTAAAACAGGCAAGGTGTTCCAAAGACGTGCGATGATAAAATCTTGTGGCCTCACCTGACAATGTTTTTGTGTTTCAACTCCTTCAGGAGACAGATTTCTCGGAGCGCAGAGCTTGGAACACCCTGTAAAGAATCGTATACAGTTTATGTCAACGCCCTACATCAGAAACCTCAGACAAGCTGCCACGATGATCTCCGACAAACTTTTGTGATTTACTCTCAGTATGTACTAAAACATGTAAACCCAGAAATGCTTCCACATTGTGAAGTTACTCTGCCTTAGGATGTTGCTACGCACATGTGGTTATAACAGAAGTTATTTACAGGTCAGGTTGGTTGGTACCAGCGTGTAAGATAGGGCAGGTGAGAAAACCACCACTAAAACCTGCCGCATATGCGGGGCTAGATTGAGTCCTCCTGGCAGCTTTCGCTCGGCAGGTGCCTTCACCTTATGATAGATGGCACGGCGGCGTACGGAAGACAATAGACTCGAGGTTTATATGAAACTCTGCGAGTGAATGCACCGTGTCAGCAATATTCTTTAATTTAAAATAGAATTTACTGAATCCTGGTGAAATAAAATTACTACACAATTATTTATCAACATCTTCCTTAAAGGGCCGATGCGATGATTTTTGTACTTTGATCAAATACCACTTAGAACGAATACCTGACATTAATGACCCCCAAAACACGCGCTTATTTTTCATCACACGCAATAGAAGCCACAGAAAAAAAATTAAGAAAAACGAGCAGCATTTATTCCCTCAACTCGCAGCCAGAACAAGCGGCCACGTGATCTGGAGCCTATTATTTGCCGCCAACATTGATCATAGCCACGCACTGAGGTTGGAAAAGCACAGGACACACGCTGAGTTCCAGACATTGTTATGATTCGGCTAGAGTCGTCATTGCAGCGATTGGTCACGGGTCACTACCCGAATGCTTACAGAGCTATTGACTATTACAAGCCCATATCGAGTGCTCACACAATGCTCTGGTCCAATCTATGAGCCGCATTCAAATATTGTCACTGGGGGTGCTGCGACCCCCCAGCTACGTCATCAAGTTTTGCTAAGAAAAGGCTGAAAAGAAAAACAATGCTCGCCTTTGTCCTTGAAATTACACCGCAACACAGAAGTTTCTTGGTCAGTGGCGTTGCATGGGAGTAGTGCCAGTAAGCTCGTGTAAAGTAAAAAAATCACAAGCGAAGATTGTTGCACGGTTCCTTTAACTTTGAATGCATTTTTCAAACCATGTGAGCGGCTGGCAATCTGATGTCGTCTGCGAAACGTCTCATGTGCTCTATGCTTTTCATTTTGTTTGCTTTGCTCACAAACGTGCTTGTAGCAGACGAATTTGGCATTTCTCGCAGTGTTTTGGACCCTGGGGGCAGCCAAGATTCTTGAGGTATGGGCTGCTACTGTTGTGTCCCAAACTGTAGGTCGGGTTACGGCCCGGAGAAAAAGTGGGGATACCTAACGCGGGCAATGTTGAGTTTGGGTGACTCTATCATACTGGGCAGTGTGACGGCGTACCACTGGCTTCAAATCCTGTCAAACTAAAACTTAGCTTGCTTGCACGGATATAGCGGAAAATTCTAAGCTAGATCGCCAAACACATCTGCAGAGAAAGTGGAATCGACGTCATCGACACATTCAGGACACACGTCAAGTGACTTGTCAGCTCACCTTCATTTTGTCGCGCTGAGTGCCCCTTCAATTTTTTTTACTTGTAATGTAAATGGGCAAAACGGAACCTATATATTAAATATATTTTTAATTTGCTCGATTAAACTTGCATGGTTCATATACAGTCTACAAAATAAATTGCCAATGGGTCTCATTGCACACAAAATTAATGAGAATATTTTGTTTTTCACTTCTTTTTTGTGTGGCACCATCTATGTGGAGTGCCACGAACCTTCCTGAAGCAGGGACACAATCAGATCACCCAACCAGCTTTCGTTTCCCAACCTGCCTATCTTAGACACTGGTCAGGACAGTCCACAATAGATGATAGATGAACAGTTCAATGAGGGGGGATCGGTGGCCGAGTGGTCTAGCGCACACCAGCTCGGAGCACGTGGAGCGAAAGCTCGCGCTGCAGAACCCAGGGATCCTGGGTTCGAGCCCCACCCCTGCCCGTTTCGATCTGGATGAGCATCGTACCGGCGTGCGGTCGTGTATCACTACTGCGTGATGCACGTTAAAGACCCCAGGCTAGTGGCTGTACCGCACTGGCTAAATTTCTCATCTACAGCTGGGAGACTCGTCGCCCCTGTGAGGCAGACCAAGTTCTAGGCTGTATAAACACACACACAACCCAATTTATTTTTAACAGTTCAATGAGTTTCAAGTGCTGCGGAAGAACTCCAAAGGCCGGTTCGTTGCTCATGGTTGTTGCCCGTCTTTGTCACCAAGACCTCGTAGCCACATGTGCGGCTGCAACTGTCCCAGTGGAGGCTTGTGGTCTTTGGTGGACAATAAATGTATCGGCGGAACGTTTTGACATCCCGTATGATCGACACGGCTCATAATAAGCTTGCGAGTATTTTTTGCTTAGCCTTGCTTGGGGTTCTGGACTTGTAAGCTATCGGTAAACCTTGTTCGGTGGCGGTCAACTTAAAGACTAACGTAAAGCGTCGCCGGTCAAGAGCAAAGGCTCGTCGACATCGTAGGCAACAACGGCCATTGACACCAGTAGTTGGTCACATCCCATCCTCGTCGCCAAATTTCTTATGTACATTTAATTACGGCAGAAGTTATTTACAGGTCAGGATGGCTGGGACAGTGCATTGCAGAAGACGGTTCAACCCATGCTGCACAAGTTCCAGATGTTGATACGCTCCTTACTGCCCTCATCCTTTAACATTGCAGCCACACCTTGTTGGCAGATTATACTCTATCTCACTAGTTGGGTGCAGCGTTCCCAAAGGTACAGGGGCAAGAGCGTAACCCGAGCAGTTGAAAAGGAGGGGAAGAAGTAAATCCCTTCTTACCCGGACCCTCCCTTGTGTGCCCCATTTGACTTTGCTCTCCCTTGGAGACTAGCCTGTCACTCAGAATTTGTGCAGAAGAGGTTTTCCTCTTCCTCTCCCCCGTAGCTTCCTCAGTACTGCATTCAACTAGAGATAGAGTATAGGGTTCTCACCACAGTGGGCGGCAGTGGTTTTGCCACCCACCAGCCTGGCTGACTGCCCATTTCTACTACATCCAGCCCATTTCTATACTTTCGACTCCACTAGAAAAGACAATGCTGATTTTTAAAATGCACGACACCCCAAATGGTTGTGTTTGGCAGACTTGTGATGCAACATAACTGCATAATCCCCGCAAACAAAATCACTGCTGAGTGGCAAAGAAAGTGCTGAGAACTTTAAAAACTGCAGCAACAGCCTCTTTTTTTTTTTTTTTTTTTTTTTCCTAACACACTAAAAATTGTCACATGTCCACATATCATAAATTTCTGGGAAGATCCCGGGGGCGCACATATTGCAGAAGCAGTACTACAGAATAATGCATGGTTCACCACAAAAAGCCAATTTTGCATTGTCAGCGAACAGAAATCGGTGTTTGTCAAGGTGGTGGAGACCAGCCACAACAGCCACACTCGGGAACAAGCCAGGGTGTTTGAACCTTTCAACTTTTTCATGCCAGTCAGCTCAATGGATGCTGTAGAACCTTCCACAATCTCTTCCTACCCACCTCATCATCGTCGTCGAGTCGTACACGCTTGAGCGCCACGATCTCCTGGGTCTCTCGGTTCTTAGCCTTGAAGACAGTGCCATAAGTGCCTGGAACGATGAAGCGTGTAAGTGTCACACCGACTGAGTTTACTGTTCTTGCTTTCTTTCCAGTTTATTCGGCTGACAATCGCATCTAAAGCAATGCGCAGCACACATTCGAAACTTTTAGAAGTGATGCCGCTTCCGCCACAAATTACGCACATTGGTTTGTTTAGAATGTTCAGTGACAAAGAGCGTGACGATAATTTGATTATACAATCCAGTGAACCAACATATTGCCATAATTATCTGGAGTCAGAACGATTTGTTGTTCTCTGTTGGCGTCCACCTGTAACAGCAACATGATTTGGTACAGTCGGAAATAGCCACAAGGTAGCTCGAAATGAGTTCTAGTAAATCTTGCGTGCGAGTAATCTGAAGTGATACACTACCTTCGCCGATTTTTTCGAGTTTTTCATACTTTTGCATGACAACGATAGCACCGACCACAACAATCAGAGAGCAGCCTGCAGGCGGCCTTTTCCTTCTCTCCGTCGACACGTTTGACAGCTGGTGTCGCCACTAGCGCGCATACATTGTTTGTTTTAGCATTATATTGTAAGTCCCAAAAGACTTTTTTGTTGTTATAAAAATGTTTTTACTTATTTTGTTATAAAAATGAAATTTATAAACTGTTTTGTCCTAGATCACCTACGAGAGACACCCAGCCCGCCTTAGCGGCAATGTCGATTATGACGCCATGTTTTGAGGCGGCCGAAACAAGAACCCTACGCTTGAGCTTCTCGAGCGCAGAAAGAGCATCACAGGCGGGCGAGCTGTTTCGGTGGGAGAAAGTAATGTGAAAGTGAGTGCGATGCAGGTCTCGCTGTGCAGTTAAACGGGTGAGGTTTTAGCAAGTGTAACAGGTTCGAACGTAACGTTCTGAAGCCACCGCTTCCACTCCAAACCCGTCGCAGGCGCACTGCGGTTGGCTACGGTATGATCGGCAATATCGCAAGGTAAGCTGCAACTGATTGAACGTTTGCAACTAAGTGGCGATGATTTCTGAATGATTCTTGATATCGCATGTTATCTTATATTCACGGAATTACATAAAGGAACCTGCCAATTAAGTATATACAGTACCTGAATTTCTCAGATCTCGTCAGCGCCTATAATCGTAACACAAAACCAGTTGGTGAGTGTGCACGTAATCTTAACTCAGCTTCATAGATCTCATGAAACTGCTGAGCAGCGGATTTCCTAAATGGAAATGTGCAGGCTTCGTTGTGGAGGGCCGAGAAGAAGGTCCTTCATTTTAATAAATAGTCCATGAATTCTTGAGCCGACTTTCCTTGTGTGCGAAATAGCCGCAGGAAAAAGCAGTCGACGCGGAAAGGTTGGAACGTAGTCGTGTTGACCCTAAGGACGTGCTACTTACGTCACTGAACTTCGCAACTTCCCGCACATGCATCTTTTTTTTTTTCTTTCTTTCTTTCTTTCTTTCTTTGATGGGGGTGTATTATTTAGTGCAGCCAGCACTACGCTTCGGAGCGGACGCACCTAAAGTGTTCTGCACAACACAGCAGTGAGTGTGTATCTTGTGGTATATTTCAAGTGTTTGCTAGATTGCTTTGTCTGAAAATCACAACTTACATGCAGATTACTGGCTTATAGCTTTTGCATTTTGTCAAATGTTTTTCAGACATTAGAATGACATATGTAGACGTGCGACTATATGAGCACACTCTAGCCATATTATGAGGTTGCTGTCATTTGTCAGACACGCCTTTAGGTTGAATGTGAAAAATAGACAGCCCAGTGACATTTGGCAACTGCCTAGGGAGGTTGTATTATGTGCCATTTCAAAGGCAGTCCTCTTCCCTCATTTTCCGCTCTGACTCCTTGGAAGGAGCAGATCAGAAGTGAGCGACTTGTCTTTTAGTAAGGGCAATTCTATCCCTCCAAATTACTGCCGCCTTAGTAAAGTCCAGTTTTCCTTCCCTCCTTTTTTTCACAATGTCTCTGCAGGAGAGTACTGACACGGGCAAAGCACATGGGCGACGGTTTCCTCGGCAGTGCAGCTCGCTCCACCTCGGCAGCCAGCGAGTCAGCCGTCAACCTGGACAGCTTCGATCCAACCCAGGTGCAGCTCTTGGAGGAGCAGTGTATCCTGGTGGACGAGCAGGACCGTGTCCTTGGCTCCGGCAGCAAGAAGGACTGTCATTTAATGACCAACATCAACAAAGGTCTGACACTTGTTGAACTGGCAGCAGTCTGAGTAAACGTAATGGCGGCCAAATTCGTAGACGCTACTCGAAACTTCACTTGAGGACGGTTTTTCGCTTCATAGTTTGAACTCGACTCGAAACTCCACTTGAGGACGCTTTTTTGCTCCATAGTTCGAATTCGACTCGAAACTCCTCTTGAGGACTGTTTTTCACTTCATATAGCTCGAACTCGCCTCGAAACTCCACTAGACTGAGGAAATACTCAAAAATCTCAAGATAGCTTAGGAGCTACCTCAAGATTTTCCTCGAGACTTCAGTTGGTTTTTGGGTGTTATGGTGGCCGACAGATTGTTCACAGAGTTCATAAAATTTGTCCTCAGAACCGATGAACTCCTGCACCATAGCAAAGATGAGAGCCTTCCAGTGTCACGGCGTTGTTTCAGGAACCAGCTGAGCGATATAAAAAGTGTTCACTGACTGATAATTTTGTTCTTTAATGCTTTAAGAAAGCAACGATGACCAGCCTCCTAAAATCCCTGTCAGTGGAGGATTGTGAGAACAGTCGTGGTTTTCCGGTCCCTCCAAAGCTCCAGCTCTTGATTGTGCCACAGTTCTATGGCACTGGGATATTCAGGTGCATGGTAACTGGCAACCTGCTAAATAAGTTGCAACCCACAGTGTGCTGGGTCATTGGATGATTGTTGTGGCTCGCAGCCAGCACATTGTGCCACCGTCTTGTCGAGTTCCCAGGGATCGCGGCAGACTTGAACGTTTTGACTTGACACTTTCATTGGCTCAATATTAAGAGGAAAATTTCTTGGTCTACACTGTGTGCGTGAAAGGTGCCAAAGCAATGAATTTGCATTTATGCTAAAAGCCTATTCACACAGTAGCATTCAACCGCTAGACTAGTTTGGGCAAGAGTGATGGTCGTACCAGCCTTGCATTAAAGGGGTAGTGAAACGAAATTTTAGCGCCGATCTTGTTGCATAAATATGGGCTAGGGACAGGCACCACCTCGGAAATATAAATATTGCGCTGTAAAACACAGGAGAACTAATTTTAAACATAATTAAACGATTTCAAATTCTCATCTGGTGGATGGGGGGAAGTTCTCGTGACATCACTTGTGCCAAAATAGCAGCGCCGTTCTGCGGCAATACGGCGTGCCGGCAGAATTCGCCTAGGCCTGAACGCGTTCGCAAAGCCTTGGCGGAGAAAGCCAAAGCGTAGTTGGCCACAGTGAGCTCGTTCTCGTTGCGGCTCTTAGCACGACACGGCCCGAGCATGCTTCTGGCACGGCCGGTATTAGTTGCTGCGAGTCGCGAGCTGCGAGCCGACGTTAAAAAGGATATGTTTGAACTACGAGGGTGTCAGCCAGAGCCACGCAAATGCCAAATACCTGTTCACACTCGGAGCGGACACGCGCGTTTGATCGAAGTGCTGGATTCGCTCTGTTAGACCGCGTTTCGGTAAGCGCTTCTGGACCGATCTTTTACGATTGCAACTCGATACTGACATGACACTCGGCAAAGAAAGGTTAGACCGACATCGCGTAGCTCCCACGAACTGCTATAGCTCGACACTGACGTAGAGTCTAGTCAATAAAAACGGCATACTAATAACAGAGTGTACATACCGAGTTGCCAAGGTAATCCGTATGGCGTTTATTTGAGCTCTATATCACACAAAACAAGGAGATAGAATCAATGAAAGTCCCTTTTCGACAACAGCGTTCGTCACCGCTGTCTCGGAAAACAAGGAGATCGAGATGACAAGGGGAAAATATTGACCTCTGAAATTTAGTTCAGGGATCAAACTACTCATCCGGTAAGGGTCAACAAGGGTCGCGCCGGCATATTCCATTCAGCACGCCAGCCGGTCATGGACAGACGGTCTTGGCCACTGATCTGGTCTTGGCCAAGGACCGCCGGAGCAACGGTGCGCCGAGTCGATGTTGCTGCTAGGCCTACCATATTCTGCCGAGCTCGCTCGGTCGGCAGAATCGTGGCTGTTGTAGCTCTTCCCGTGTGTTTGTGGATCCTGCGTTCTTGATCGTCGTGGTCTGTTTTAAGTACTCCTTCCTTTTTTCTTGCTGGTTGAAGTCGGGACGCACGAGAAGAGCACGAAGAAAAATAAATGTCCGTTGGTGGCCGATACCAAGTAACTGAGCGACGCTGTCGGCCTTGTTGATTTGATCGTAAAAAGTGCGTAAGACAGCTTCGGGGCTGTCGTAGGATTCTGTCGTAACCTGCGCAAAGGTTACGACAATTTCGTTTCGAGAGCACGGGGTTTCTCTCAAATTTGTCGTGCGCACTTTTTTCGTCGTGAATTCGCTTTGAGAATCCGGCCTCAGAGCTGGTTTTGTTAGTGCTGCCGTGGTTGCCGACTTGCCGTGGTCCCGTTGGTCCCGTGGTGCAGCGTGCGTGCAGCCCTTGCACATCTCAAACGGCCACGTTGTCACAGGTCGTAAGTCGTCGACGCGCCACCAAGTGGCAACGCTCGTAACCACAACATTCACGCCGTAGCCTTTCCCGACCGGCACAAGTGACGTCACGAATGCGCCCAATATCCCAAGACGCATCGCGCTCTCCGATGGCCGATTTTTGAGCGCGCGCCCAATTGGGCCCATCAGGGTGAGAAATATAGCCATCCGTTCAAAATACAAACGCGCGATTATGATTTATGAATATCATTGATCATATTGAACCTATTTCTGACCATAATAGGTGTATTTCAAGTTTCGCTTCAGTATCCCTTTAATAAACATATTTTCAATCAACGTTACGAGAGCTCCCGTCGAGTTACGATCGCAAGACACCGGGGCATTTGCGCGTCAGGCATGGCAACCAATTCAAGGAGTAGCTCTGCAGGCGATGTACAAAACATGAATGTCCTAGTGATTTGTGGTCGTTTCAACGGATAATGTTAAGGAAACAGTCAAAGGCTACTATGTGCAGATGCCTTATCCTTTTTTTTTGGGGGGGGGGGGGGGGGGGGGGGGCCTTTGTATTTACATGAAACATTGAAAACATCCTTGAGCAGTTTTAATATTAATATGTACATCAGCAGCAGCTATTTCGTGGACATGCATAGTCTTTGTTTGAGCACAGAGGTACAAAGTGTTGAAATGAAATTTAAAGCTTACACAAATTGTCATGTTGGCCATGGGGGTTTCACTGCCACTGGCACATTGATTGCGCTCTTTGTGTCAGGTGACTGTGGTTTCACACCAACATAAATACATAAGATATTTTAGCCCTCATCCTTAAATCAAGTATTGCCAGGGTTGATGTATGCAGACGACATTGTACTCATATCAGAAAGTCGTGAGACAATACAGGAACTGATTAGGATTTGCAGCAGGGAAGAGGACAATTTAGGACTAAAATTTGGTAGGGACAAGTCTGCTATAATAGATTTCAACGACGAGAAAGGGGAGCCCCTGGAGATACAGGACACATTGATAGAACACGTAGAAAAGTACAAATATCTGAGAGTATGGTTAAGTGAAGGAAGGCGATATCTAAAAGACCACAAAGATATTGTAATAAAGAAGGGGAAACAAGATTCGGCTATCATGAAACACAGGGCACTATGGAAGTATAATAGATATGAAGTCGTTAGGGCTGTTTGGAATGGAGTCATGGTGCCAGGACTGTCATTTGGGAATGCGGTATTGTGTATGGGGTCAGAAATCCAGGCAAGTTTAGAGATACAGCAAAGGAGTGTGGGTAGGTTGGCATTGGGGGCACATGGGAATACACCAAATGAGGGAGTACAGGGAGATATGGGTTGGGCATTTTTCGAGAGTAGAGAAGCGATCAGTAAAGTAAAATTGGAACAAAGACTAGCTGAAATTGAGGTTACACGGTGGGCAGCGAAAGTGTACAAGTATCTATATATGAAAAGTCTAAACACCGAGTGGACAAACCGAACCTGCAACCTGAGATTTAAATACATTCAACGAGATGGAGCCAATCAGAGCATATCAGTAGAAAAGGGAGCAAAGGGGACTGAGAGGAAATTGTGGGAAGAGAGAATGCAGGGGAAATCAGCTTTAACAACATACAAGGTACAGAAGCAGGAAATAAAGAAGGAACAGCTGTATGATAATTCACTGGGGAGCTCTTTGCTGTTTGAAGCTAGAATGGGGTGCTAAGAACGAAAATGTACAGGTCTGAATTCCAGGAAGTAGACACTCTGTGTGACGTATGCAACCGTTAAAGGGAAACTATAGAACATATAATTTTAAGGTGCACAGGGCTTCGTCCCACCCTCTTGGGGGACATGACTATGAATTTGGAGGGGGCACTGGGTTTTCCGGACATGGATGAATGAATGGATAGGGAAAGGATTGCGGTAACTAAGGAGATTAGAAGATTGGTGGAAGAGATCTATGGAAGGATAAAAAAATACAGATAAAAATAAGCAATAAAATCACTTTAAAAAAGGGGGGAAGGGGGGTCTGTTATAACAAAATTCATACAAATCTAGAAAAAGAAGAGATGACGAAATGTTAGGCTAGGTGGCACAAATTGCCGCCCGTTACAAAGGTATAGCCATTACCATCCATCGATCCATCAAGTGAGCACCAGTACTTGCAATGTTTTTAAGTTGCGGCTGCATTTTGGAGGATGCCAAAGATGAGAACTAAGCTAGTTAGCAACCTCCAGTTAAAGGGGTATTCACACAACGGAGAAATCCTGGGGATTTCTCCGTGGCACTTGCATCCCGCGACGAAAACGTCAGACCTTGCAATGTGCAAAAGCCTCAAATTTACGTCTCGTGATGCGCGCGCGCTGGGATCGGGACCCTTTAAATCAGCACATAGCAGAACACCTTTTCGAAGAGACCAGTTTGCAAAAAGGCTTGATGTAAGGCTGGTCCACACAGCCTTGTTTTCGTACGGTGCGTTATGGTACAAAAGCTTACGTCTGCTTACGCGCAAGTCACCGAGATAACCTTGCACACAACATCCGTAACACAAATGTTTCCGTGGCTTATACGGTGTTGTGTGAAGCAACCGAATTCGGGCAAGGAAAAACTGACAGCTGTTCTTTTTCCCACACCGTTGCTAGACTGGAAAGCACTTGTGTTTGTTCTAATCATAAAACAACTAAAACTTTCACTCTGGCTAGAGAAATGCTTTTGTAAAGCAGGTTCTTTTAAAGATAATGAACACACATATTCATATTATGAACCAAAACTATGTTTTAGATGAAACACGTTAGTATAATCTCATCTCCAGATATTCCCGGGAATGCTGGAATCGAGTACAAAATCTCGAGGAATTTCTTCGTGGAGGAATCGTCAAGAAGCATCTGTGAAGCCAAATGCCTCTTGAGGGGAGGTGTTCTTCCTTCCCTCTACTTGACTGAGTGCTGTTTTAAGCTGGAATCCCATTTCTACTATTAGGATTGAAAATTGCTGCATAAGGAATATATCCAGGTGCTGTCACCTAGGAAGACCATACAGTCTCTTGTGGATTTGAGTCTAGTCACTGCATTGTTCATACATGTTCTCTTTTGTGACTTTCTTTCACAGGCCTTCTTCATAGAGCCTTCAGTGTCTTCCTTTTCAACTCCAAAGATGAGCTGCTCCTTCAGCAGCGGTCTGATGCCAAAATAACTTTTCCAGGTGAGGCGCTTGGACAAGGTTTGATGCATGCATTGCCTGTCTTTGTGCATGTTGGGAGCACACGGTTCCTACACGCAGTTCTAGAGATGCCACCCAACAAGTTAGTTCGAGTTTGAGTGAAACCGCCCAGCTACCTGTAATGCAAACTGCCTGAGAGTTAAAGGGGCACTAAAGGAGGTTTATGGGATAGTCTTTCTTTCTTTGCTCAAACTCAATTTACATACATATAAGCATTCTAGAAAGCCCAAAATCGCAATTGTGCACTCTTTGTCTTTAATAAAATCGCAACTACACATTGTGACATGCCCCTTTTACTGAGATATATTTCAGAAAATAAGCTCGCTATATTTTAGTTGCATTTATAATAGAGAAAAACATCCTGCATGATTATAAGTTTTTATATATTAAGATGCTTGGGGCACACAGATTGAATTATCGTTTAAAAAGAAAAGTTAAAATCCGCTCATAGGGCATTACACAAGAGATGGGCTGCTGAAAGTGGAAAGGTGTAATTGTACCAGGACTGCCTTTTGGCAATGGGGTACTGTGCATGAAATCAGAGGTTCAATCAGGATTGGAAATTAGACAAAGGATCGAGCATGGGCAGGTTAGCACTGGGAACACACCAAATGAAGGAGTGCGGGGGATCATAGGCTGGTCGTCCTTTGAGAGTAGAGATGCAATGAGTTAATTAAAATTTGAAGATAGGTTAACTGAAAGGGAAGATACCCAGTTGGCACCGAAAGTATTTACTAAGTATCTCTGCATGAAAAGTTTAAAAACAACATGGGCAAGCCGGGCCCACAAGCTGACATTTAAATACCTGCACACTAGTGATGGGGCTGAGCAGACTAGTTCAGTGAAAGACGAAAGAGGCGAAAAGAAAAATGTGGGAGGAAAGAATGCAAGAAAAATTAGCTTAAACAATGTGCAGGTCACAAGAACAGGACATAGGAAAGGGAAAAAATGTTGGATAATTCATATTGAAGTCCTTTGCTGTTCGAGGCGAAAACGGGAATGTTAAGAGGGCGCGGTACCTCTATTTATTCGTCCGTTTCAGCCACCAGATGGCGCGCGGCTCGAAACATGGTTGAACGCGCAACTTCTAGATGGCGCCAGTATCGAGGTGTGAAAAGGCCCGCGTTATCCGCTGCGTAAAATAGATCCCGAAATGTGCCGTGTTCTCCCGGCGGAGGAAGTTTCTCCCTCCCTCGCGCGCGCTTGGTACGTATGCGCGGTGGCCGAGTCCGGCCTCTGCGCTGTGTGATGCAGTGGGTGGCGCTCGTTTCTGTTCGGAGGTAGGAATAAAAATGCCGGTCCCCTTTTTTACGACGCTCGTTTCTATAGCTTGTTTTTCTTTTTTTTATCTCAAGTGACCTACAGTACCGCCTGTTCGAAATCGTCCTTTGCGGTGAGCGATTGAGAGTCAGGTTAGCATTTCATATGGGTCAGCACTACACGTTCAATGGAGACCTCGGGCGGCGATGTAAATATGCATTGCTCCCCAAAGTGTGTCCAAGGTGCGCAATGACAATTGGAAAGGGTATTGAAGGCGCGCGACCGTCGGTTGGTAAAATACGTGCGTTAGATTCACTTATTCAGTCTAATCATTTTTGCCAACGTCTTTTATCTGTTTCGACAAATGACATGGTCGAGTCTATTGATAACCTTAGCTAGATTGGACGTACAGAGTGTCCGGGCTTTAAATAAATTTGCTTCGTTTATGTGAATGAATAACTGTTTTCTCTTTTCCGTGCTCGGTGCTATGCAAAAATCGCTGAGATGTTATGGTAGCTCAGTGTGGCGGCGTTTTGCATGCTGACTCGCTATTGCATTCGCTGTGCACAATATGTGTTCAGATGGAATGTGCCAAATCGTATTTCCGATCGATATGATAGATTTACTTTGCTACAGTGTTAATTGCATTTTCCTGATTTAAACTGGTTCGTCCCTGATCTGAGCCTAAGTTCAAATTCGAAGGGCAGACAGACTTACCGTCGTAACAGCCGTAATGCGCAGAAAGAAATTAGTACCATGAAAGAAAAACGAAAGGATACGAGGTGGCTCAGTGTTATAGAAGTAATGAGTGTGCAAAGGATGCCATCGTACGTGTTTTTTTTTTTTAACTCTCCGCATCGTTGGGAAACGCTCAAGGTACCAGCAAAGACAGCGAGCTGGCGTGAAATTTCCATCGAGCGGAAAACGAGTGTCATTTTTATTTCATCATGCGCTCTCATTTTGATATGGCTCAAAATGGGCGCGAAATAGTAACAGGTAAGGCAACAAAATTTAGATGTTAGGTCTGGAGCACCGCCATACTCAGCCGTGTTGGGGGCATCTCTCGCGAGTCAATACGGCAAAGGTATTGCGCGTCGAACTGTACGTGAGAGTTATCCATTTCAGCGAAACCTTGATTTCGCAAAACTATTGTGGCTCGAGTCGTGGCTTCCAGTACTTGGAAGCCACGAGCGAGAAATAAATGACAGTTGATTTTGAAGGACAATCGCGACGTGGAAACCCATAAAAGAGAGTTCCAATAAGACGAGAGCTTCCCCTTCTCTTCAAGTGCGTGGGTTACGCTCTCAATCCTGCACCTGTGGTAACACTGCAGGCTCCTAAAATCGCTTTAAAAACGTTCCTGATCGCAACAACTTTTTTTTTTTTTGTCGAGGCACTATTTCATTTTTTTTTCTTTTTGTCTACCTTAATACCCCATCAGCGCAAAAACTACCATAAACTAAAAAAAAAAAAAAAAATAGTGGGCATACAACGACAACGCACCCACTGGGACCCGAGTCAAGGCAAGAACAACTAACTACTAAAAGGGGAAAAAATCATGTTCGCATACACAGACAGAACGCCTCCATCGAAAGAAATGAATCATGCGCTTGTTCTGCCAGTCTCGTTGTGCGTCTGTCAAAAGCCACAAAGAAGGAAGACAATCAGCGCCTACACCACTCCCCTCCCTTCCCCCCCCCCCCACACACACACGCACACACACCACCCCTAAAAAGAAGAAAAAAAAGGTTTCTTTGGGCGCGCGCGCGGTCGCCCAAGCGATGACCTTGGAAGGGTATGCGATTGTAGCACGTTTGTCCCCCGGTTGTGCCCCTGTCTCAAATGCCACGGTCCGTTTCTCCCAAGTGCCCGTCTTATCTTCCCGAGTATCAACTCCGCAGTGATTCTGAATCATTCCGATGCTTTCCAACGTTGCAAAACTGTTAGACGAATATTTCCACAGAAGTGTACACTGTTCGCAGAACTATCTACGGCGCTAAAATTCAAAAGCGCCGTGTTGGATTCGGGAACTCGTGTAGGTTTAGCTCATTGTTGGAACATTCTTATTCGCTCGATGAACTCCACAAAACGTGTAAATATTAGAATGAACTTTCCAGAGAACGATAGTTGTTGTCGGGGTTCCAGGCGACCGGACAGGTCGCAATTATTGGCTGATTAAAAATTTTATTTTATAATCACAATCGTATCATCAAGGGCACGCCATTTCCTCATCACTTCTTCTACGAAAAGAGTTGCTGTATTCGTAGCACACACAGCCGGAAACGGTTGAGACTGTGCCCAAATAATATCTTCTTTTGGCAGGTACTGCGCAGCGATTACACACAATGCCTCTAACATAAACATGCTGCTCCACATGTCTATTCACAAGATGCAATACATCGTCCTCCCAACTTTGTTGAAATGGGCATGAAAAGCGCGTAACCGTCACTTTTTTGAAGTTCTACTTAGAGGTGAAGTGTTTACCGTAAAAAGTCATTCATTATTTATTTTTTTCCGTTCCACTACAAAGCTCGATTCACTGAAATTTTTTTTTTTTTATATCGTCTCTGCAGCGCTTCTACGTCGGTACTTTCGTGTTAGAGGACATCACATAATGTGCGAAAAAAAAAAAAACAAAAAATAAACGGTAGGATCGATGCTGCATAGCCTTTTTTTTTGTGGACATCTAGAAAAAAAAAAAAGACAGTAGTTGTCTTCACTTCGCACTGCATGTTTTAGCACGGAAGTTCCTATTTGGTTATGATGTCTTTATTTCTTAAAAATTGTATACAGTAATTTAAATTACCGAATTACAAAAACGTCGAAATTGTATGATTGCTTTTCGTTGGGACGCCATGACGACAGCGACACTCGTGTTCCCTCGTGGTTTTCGCCAGCATTTCTACGATGAATTGCCAGGATCGCGAGATGCAACAGCGTGACACTCCGTCTTCTGTGACGTCATTTGTTGCACTTCGGGACCACTTTTGATGTATGGCCAGCATAAGACGCTAAACACACCGGTCGGAGACGCGCTGCAGATGCCATAGTACTGCTCCTAAAAGTAGCTGTCACGTGCTTTGCTCCGCGACTGTGATTCCCTCACAGCAGCTCTGACTGAGGGTTGCCAAATTACGGTGAAACGGAGTATAGACAAAACAGACCGAAAACGAGCTGCCAGCATACGATAGTCAAACTCCAATAAAAAGGATTAGTTTCTTCCCAAGCTGGACGACATTTACCGGGCATCTTTAGAGCTGCGAAGCTCAAAATCACGCGTACTCATAAGATTTTTTTTTTTTTTTCGCGCATGTTTGTGATTTTTATGATGTCCTGCAAGCAAGAAAAAAATATATATGGTGAAGTCACTCCGAGGGGGTACCGATAACTGCGAGCCACGAACATGAAGGATTCGCTAACATCCGTCAGGAAAGTGAACGGTAAATCGTCACGCAAACATATTCTCACAAGCTGCAAATATTTATTTGGCTTAGCAAGTGGAATATACTAACGACATGTGATTATTGTATACAAGATACCATTTCTCGGTTCTTCAAAACCATTTCCTTAGTCTGAACGGTCGCGCCACGGGCCGCGGCTAGCCATGCCCTCGATAGACTACGGAGCTGCATTGTGTCGTCTGCTACTGTACCGCCAACAGGAGAGCGATAGCTCTGTGTGCTCCACAGATGCGTGTTGCGGTATAACTGTACGTCTGTCCTAGAGGAAGACAAAAACATAGGCTCTGTGACCCCCTCCTAAGCTAACAAAAACAAACAGAAGTATACTCGTTTAGACTGAAAGGTTTACAAAATAGTGACCAGACATTGGAAAAGCATATGTCACAGAACTTGGTTTATGAAATGGCATAATTGTTTCGAGCAAGAAATCACCGGCTCACCACTGGGACGATGAAATCGTCAATATTTATTGCGTCAGGTATATTTGCGCTCATGAAGAAAAATCTGAACACATCCTTCTCCCAAAGTCCTATGTCGAATAATAAACACTTTTTAAAACATCTGTGCAAAAATAACTCATTTTTTTTTACACTTGTATATGGACGTTAATTAAACGACGTCAAACCGCATTTTTGATTAGATCTTGATGTCTACACCAACTACATTCATATTTTTTAGGGCTTTATTGAACGATAACTTCAACTATAGTTAATGGAACACGATCGCTCGATCTCAACAAAAACCTCAACGTGCGAAGCTTCCACAGACGGTCGCTTGCGAGTATTCTCAATGTGAGACTTCAGAAGCTTTCGCTTGCCATAGGGAGCTTGATTTCGACTACAGCACTGCACGGGCCCGGAAAGCGCGGAGCGCGCTGCTGTGGGGAGAGGTTGACTTACAAGATGACGTGTTAGGTGGTCACGTAAGATGGCGTCATTTCGTGCAGCGTGATCACGTAAGATGACGTCATTTCGTGTAACGAGATCATGTAAGATGACGTGTTTGTGTCACGTGATCACGTAAGATGACGTCAGTTCGTATGAACTGACGTCATCTTACGACAACGCCAACAACATTAGTGCTGTCCGGAACCACTGACCTTAGAAACGCGCCCCTTCGCTTGAAGAGCTGATATGCGTTGATTGTTATTTGTTTCTTTTGCCTACTACAGCCCATTCAAAAACCCGCCTTCTGGGTGCCACCAACTTCGTCTACTGGGCTGTGAAGCGCGTTCGAGCGTGCGCAATACCTCTCTAGGCCGAAAGATTGTACACTAAGTATGCGTTCACAGCTCAATGACTTCGGCATTTTTCGTCAGGATAGATGCTCCCACGAGAAGAGCGTAATGGATATGTGAATAGAATTGGAAATTTGAAATGTTCTTGTCCAATCACATTTTTCTTTGGTTATCAACGCTTTTTAGCGTCATCACAAGACGTTCAAACCATGATACACTGGTGATTAAAAAATAAGCACCGAAAAACATGCACCGATTTTCGCTCAAAAGTAAACACCGTAAAAAACATACCGTAATCATTACCCATGTCACCTTTTTGGGTGATATGTGAATTTCCAGAAGAACAGCGAGTTATCACCCTCCCCTAGGAATACCCTGACTACAGAGCAGGCGACCCGTTTTTCCCCGCGTTAGATTGCGGTGACCACGAACCGTACGGAGGTCACAGGACGTCCGTGAAAAATAAAAAGGAGGCAAACAACGATCTACTCTGTGAACGCTTCATCCCCGATTTCCACGACCCCAAGGCCGAAGGACGTTTGTGTGAAGGATAACAATAAAATAAAACTTTGCGTTAAAAAAAAAAAGAAAGCCCGTTTTTAAAAGAAAAAAAAAAAGTAGAAACAAGCACAACGCGTTGACAGACCGCGAGGTTGTGGAACACCTCGCGGTCCGCTTGCCACAGGATGGTTGTCTTCGACCCATAGCTCCAAGGTGAATTTGCCACTTGCGAAAACACGGAGACCTACCCAGCGAGAACCAGGAAAGCAAGACACGCACACTGACGCCTCGGCGTGCAGAATGAAACAGGACACGGGCGCGGAATACGGCCGCGGAAGAACACCTCGCACAGTGCCCATCCGGCCGATCTCCGAACGGACGATTTCGCATTTCGTGGACAGCGAGCGCCACCGCACGGGAGAGAGAGGTACCTTAAAAACGACGAAAACAAGCACCGACACCTTGGTTCTTTATATTTGCTGTAGTTACGGAACAAATCGACTTACATGAATAATTTGAATATTATTCGATTCCGTAATAAATTTAGAAGACATTAAGCGCAATACGTCTTATGTTTGAATTTAGATAATTTTGTAAATTCGCTCAGAACGCAAGAGTGCCGAATTAGCCGATTTTGACCATTTTCATGATTTTTTTAAAAAATATAATTAAATTTATGATGAAACATTTGTTGCGCTTAGTGTCTCGATAATGACTCAATGTCTTTAAAGCCGAAATTTTCAAGAAGATCCGCGCAGCCGTTATTATCTGAGAATTTTTTTAATTTGGTGAAAAACCTCATGTATTCTCTATGGGGCTCTGAGGTGCGCCCCCTCTTAAAAACAAAGACGTATAGGGTGAAATTTCAAGAAATGGACACATGATGTGCTGTGTGCTATAATAAGAGTGAGAGGTTAGAACATTTGGATTTGAAGTGCATGGGGCTTTGCCTTACCCTCCCTGAGGGGGTAATGGATCTGGCAGGAGCACTAGGTTTCGCTGGCAAAGATGGAAGAACGGAGGAGAAAGGACTACAGTCACAAAAAGGTGGTTATTATCCAGAGAAAATTGAATGAAGTAAAACTAACTAGCACAGCTTGGGACAGGCGGGACAGAGGAAAATTAGGACTCCCACCCGTGTGATTCCAGCCCAAAGTCTCAACTCTGTTTCCCACTGGGCCCGGTGTTGGGGTAATGCCGACTAGGTTTGACCAGAGGAAAATTGGCGACTCCCTCACCAGAGGAAGAGGTGGGAAGTAGTGTTTTTAGTTTTTTTGCTCGATCCCCCAAAGGTCATCCTGACATTATCCCACACTGCAGAAAGGGAGCAAATTGGCTTAGAAGGGCGAGGGGATCAATCATAGTCTTGGTTTCTAGGCTGGGTGGCACGAGCTACCACTCGTTATAAAGGGTACAGCCATTAGCATTCATCCATCCATCCACCCAAGTTCCGATAAGTAAGCAACAGACTAGCAGACACACTCAAAACGATATAGTTATTCATTGAAATGAACAAAAGTTACAGTACACAAAACTGAGTAAACGAGCAGCACATTGTTACTTCAGTTGTATTAGCACTGCACAGCCTCCCAATATTTGCTTACTAGTAGCTCTTTAAATATATTAGTGTAATTAGCAGTGACTATGTGGTCTGGCAAACTGTTTGTCCTATTATTTTTAGGCTGCTGAAGAGTTCACATAAGAAGTAGTGAATGCAAAAATGGGCTGTACTTTGCAAGTGCTATCTAATCTTGTAAAAAAATTAGGTAGGAGATAATAACAATGTGGTTCTAAGTGAAGGATTTTGATGGTAAATTTTTGTAGAGAGTGTTAAAGTAGGTATTTGTCGTCTTAAAGGGATGCTGAACCGAAATCTGGATTCCCCAAAACACGAGGCAAAAGCGTGCAACGGGATGCTACAACGACCAAAACATCACCCATACAGCGATATCTCGAACGGATGAGAGTATTTTTCAAAAAAAGAGGCGCGTTTGGCAGGAATGTTGACGTCATGTTTCTTCGAGAAGGAGAGGTAAGGGCCTCACGGCCTTGAGGGAGCGAAGTGAAGAGAGGAGGAAACTAGATATCTTGACGTCACGCGCCTTGTCGGCCTGGTTCAATCTCGACTTTTTTTTCCAAAAATACAGCCGTCCATTTGAGATATTGCTTCACTAGTAGTGTTGTAGGGATTGTAGCGTCCCGCCTACATCTCCAGCATTGTTTTTTTTAAATCCAAATTTCGGTTCACCATCCCTTTAAGGCTCAGTTCAGGGAGGGCTCTGGTTCTTGCTGTTGGTGAATGAGGCTTTTCCTTCCCTCATTCCTCAGGGAGGTTCACAAACACCTGCTGCAGCCACCCTCTCTATGTTGCCGATGAGCTTGAGGAAACGGATGCTACGGGCGTCAAAAAGGCGGCCCAGCGAAGGCTCTTCATCGAGCTCGGCATCAATCCCAAAGAGGTGCCATCCATTATTTTCCATGCTGATGGCCAATATGCTTAACTATTGAGTGACAGCTTTTTCTCTCTGTGCAACGGCAAGGGTGGGCCCATTGCGAGGCACTCTTGGCGTTTCATCGTATGTGGAACTAAGGCATTCTCCCAGAAGCCATGTTCTTTAGTGGAGGTTTCTGAGGAACCTCCCATTATATAAGCGAGTAATTTGTGTTTTTCTCCCAATGAACGCTTTTACACGTAAAACAAAATGACTGCCACCAGGCAAAGTCAGGCAGGGAATGAAGAATAAAAAATTTCAAATATCTTATTAAACATTGTATCGATGTCATCCGTCTAGCAGCAGACAAGACAGTTGCTGTACATTGAAGGGGACTGATCTCACAGCTGCCTATACCCTGTTTAATTGCAAGGCGGTGAGAGCCATCGTCCCCGTAGGCCAGTTAGAGTGACGGGGCAGACCACATGAGTGCGCTAATCAAGAGGAATGCACTCAATTGTATGTTATTGTGTGTCTCACTCCTGTGCTATGTTTTCTTTTTAGCACCATTGCTTTATGTTTGCACTCTAGCTTCGCTGCTTTATTGCGAAAAGTAATTGATCTCATGCAATTTCTAACTTCACCTGTGATTTGAATTTATCAAAATAAAATCTTGGTTTCCCTGGGTTGTATAGACAGCCACCATTGGGAATGGAGTAAGATCTTGTATAATAAACCACATGGGTCCCCCTCACACACACTTCATCTATCTTTCTTACATTTTTTGTAAAGCTTGGTGGCACTTCCTTCAAGAAGTACCTACTGAGAGACGTTTTGCTAAAATACCCAGCACCAAAGAACATGCTACAAATGTAGTTACGTATGAGCAGTAGCTATTCTAAAGCAAAAATCTAAAGTGGCACTTTTTACGTGCATGCCTTACCTATTTTGGTTCATACAGATAAGACGGGCATCTGTACCTAGTACCTATGTTCCCAGCATTCCTCTTGGTGCCTGGCTAATTTTGCATAAGGTCCAGTGAACTGTTTGTGGCACGCAGCTCGTAGGCACTCTGCAACACCTGCATGACCTGTCACGTCTATGTTTATCATCAGGTACCCTTGGAGAGCATTCGTTACCTGACACGGATCTTGTACAAGGCACCTTCAGATTCAACCTGGGGTGAAAACGAGGTGGACTACATCCTTTTTGTACAGAAGGATGTTGGAGTCAAGCCAAACCCAAACGAGGTCAAGGAGTCCTTGTACATTGCAAGAGAAGACATGCTTCCTTTCATCAGTGAGTAGCTCAGGGCATCCATGCATCTTGGCTGGAAAACAGTGTCAGGGTTCGGCCTATCGCTTTTCTGTTTCACAATCTTTGGCATTCATCCAAGTGCCTAAAAAGTGTGATTTCTTCATATAATCACCACATATTTTCAATCCAATAGACCGATCCCATTAAGCGTTCCACGCTCGTATGTTGCCACCATAACTAGTTCACAAGAAGCAAGCGGCAGTGCTTGATATCTTGTGCAGTCACGGGCTCTGCTGGACTTGCAGTGGGGCTGTCTCACATGCAGAAAGGTTACAGTTCCTATGAAGCGTGGTGACAGAAACAACACAACGAAACTGGCTGGTGAGATCGGTCTATTGGATTGTGAAGGGCGAAAAAAAAGTCGACATTCGGTCACGGGTTATTTGAAATAGTAACTTTTGAACGTGTTCTTCTGAAAATGTTTTTTCTTGCGATAATTATTTTCGCTTCTTCTGCAGAGATGTGGCCCTGTGCATCACATCTCAGAGTGTCTAGCGACCGGGAAAACCGGGAATTGTCAAGGAAATTTTAATTACCGGGAAAAATCAGGAAATTGTCAAAAAGCGGGCCGAGTCAGGGAAAATGAGCCGGAAATGCCATCGAGTGCCCTGAGCAAAGACTTGATGATTTGGGGCATGAAAAATAGGGTAGAAATTCTGTTTAGAGCGGAGCGCAAGCTCTGCTCACCCGATGCAGAGGGAACACCCGTCAAATCCAACCCTAGCCGTGGATTAAATTGGGTTGGATTGAGGGCGCGGCACTAGTCTAGATCTAGTTAGAGCTGTTAGATTTAGTAACATATGGGAAAGCCGCAGACCCCAATCCAAGTCTTAAGCCGAAAGTATCCAAAAGTGCATCTGCCAGCCATGCTGGCCATGCTGCCATTAGTTATTAGGGACCTTTAGCAAACCGTTGCCTTGCTTTGCGCACCACACTGCCGGAGCCTTTGAAGCATGCTTTTAAGTGCGCGCACGGGTGGTACCGTGACCGCGGGGCGCACGCTTAAAAGCAAGCTCCAAAGGCTTCGGTAGTGCGGCACGCGGAGCGCGGCAGCGGTTTGCTGAAGGTCTCTATTGACATGTGTGGTTGAGTGTCATGTTTTCATTGTGTTTCCTTAAGTGGCCTCTTCACTGACGATGTCAGTGGCAAGAAAGTGCTCGTTTAATCCGGACTGGACGAACCTGAATATTTCGTAATATGCAAGTTGGGTTAAGCCCGTGCAAAATGATCTTCACAATGCTCAATGCCTTGTGTTGTAATGGTCATATATTTTATCGCCTCTACAGTGGTCAGGGAATTTCACCTGAAATTGTCAGGGAAAACCTGGAAAAGTCGGGGAATTTCCAAATAATAATTTGCTAGACACTTTGCATCTTTTACACTTTGCGTAAGTCAATTCCTGGCAAATTGTGGTTCAACAAGTCACCAGAACACTGAGCTTCAAAACTGTCTCTTATCTTGGAGTTGCGGAAAATGACACGGTTGGAATTTAGAAATGATCCAATGTAAGCATAGCCCCACTAAGGACACAAAGTAAATCTAAGAATTGAAAATAACTATGTTCAACCTGTTTTAGGGAAGGACCTCTGTTGGTGATTTTTGGCATCTAGTGCAAAGTGCTCTTACTGGGGTATCCTATTAAGTACCTCCACCCACCTAGAAGAGGCAGTTTTTTGGTACCATGTCAGTCTTCTCACAGAGGCTAGTGTTGAACACCAAACTACACCAACCGAGTCTATGCTGTAGATGAGCATGTTACACTAAACTGGTAATTTTGATGGCATCCTTTTATTTGTGCGAGAAAAACAAGAACACATGTGACTGCATGTTTGAGTCAAGTTGTGCTCTGTGGTTTGCATTGCTTCATTGCATGAACCTTTCTGATTGCAAATCCTCAGAAAGACTGCTCACTGCCATAAGTGCTATCAGGGATGGGCAAAATACATGCAAATATGTATCGGAATACAAATACAAAATACTTCGTCAAAAATCTATTAAATTAAAAATCTAATTACATTTTCAAAAAAGCATTCATGTACAAGATACAAATACAACCAATTGCATTTGGTCTCCTCCAAATACTTTTCCAAATACACTCCTCAAAATTTGCTTCAGCAACTTCAGGGCACTTGCAACAAGTTTCTGGGTATCTCATTTTAATTTTGCATCGCACACTCAGGAGTTAGTGCGCGAGGCTCTAGTAACGCAATAGAAATATAATCACATAAGAATGTAATCAGCTTGGACGTAATAGGTGAAAAAAGTACAGAGCTTCAAGCAGCTTTTTTTGTTGATTACATTTTAGTATAGACCAACAAAGAACAGAGACGACCAAGACGCACAGCACTAGCTAGAGATATTTTTATTGTTGGATTTCAAATTGAAATTTGAAATAATTGGATTTCAAGTATTTCAAATACTTGTATTTGAAATACTGCCCATCCGTGACTGCTATATAGATTCACTTTGACTGTACTCATGTTACTATACTCCGTTTCATATATTGCGATGGATCGCAGCGGGTGCTACGAGCCACCCCAGCCAATCCAGCACTGTGAACGTATCACGTGACCATGCACCTCGCTGTGGCCCTCCCAAATATCACGTGGCACTCACACTGCATTGGATTGGCTCCAACGGCTTGCCTCGTCCTCTGTGGTCCATCATAAGGTGTAATGGGGTCTAGCAGATACAAGGTAGGGGGGATCAAATTCAGCTGAATGCTAAACACTCAACTTAATTTACAACATCAATTTTGTTTCTGCCTATTTCTCAAAATATTTGGCCTACATTTTTTATTTGTGTTGGCAAATAGTGCTAATCAGAGTTTCTGACTATGGTATACCTGAAGCATTTTGCTCATCCCCCAAATCCCTGTAGATCCATCCTATGTACCACTGCATATGGACAACATGCTATTTTTTGTGTACTGGTAAGCTGTTTGTTTGTTGGTGCAAGGGATATGGTTGTCTTGCAGCTTCCCTAGAGGCTCAAGGTCAGGTGATCACACCCTGGTTCAAGCTGGTTGTGGAGAACTTCCTCTTCAAGTGGTGGGACAACTTGCACAGCCTGGAACAGTTTGAGGACCACCAGAAGATACACCACCTGACTGAAAAGCGCACATAGCCGCAAACCTTTTAGGTTCTTCCATGCATCCTGTCAGTCAAACTCAGGGGCTGGGTGATCAATATTAACAGAGTCTTATTTTATTACGATAACAGACAGGGCAGCATATGTTGTGTATGAGATACAGTGGACTACAACTCTTCAGATTAAATGTGCTTAATCTATACCATTTCCCGTGCACTTTCTCAGCTGCCACTGGAGCCATTGGTTGTCTCTCGAAGTGGGTACAGACGCTGGGACACTGCAGCATCTAAATAGAGGCTGTCTTGTTTTTAACCGTCTTTGCCTTTATTCCAGGGATAGCTTTGAAATTTTGTTTTGGTTTGAGTCTAGGTGCATAGAAAGAAATCAAGATGATTTAAGTCGTGACATAAATTGTGATCTAAGTCATGATTTAAATCACGTGCCTTTTCCCATCGTAATTTAAGTTATTTTTTCTTTAAAAAGAAGCCTCAAAACCAATCTTGTTTTGTTTTTGCTTTTAGATCTGAAATCTCCATTACTCAGTATTTACGTTGAGAGCCTATACTTTTTTTTTTAATTCAAGCAAGGAATCATCATACAAAAAAGATTTGTCTGGGTGGAGTGAAAAAAAAAAAAGCATCCCTTTTAGGTCAAAAGATACCAGGGTGTTGTTTTTCCTTTTTTCTTCGCTCTCATAGCTTTATGTAATTGAGAACTAGGAATTGAGTACAAGCGAAAAAGCTGACGAATCATGAGCGCATGACTCTCCCCTTCTCTTAGTCTCGTTTCCAGCCTAATCGGCAGGCAGAATAGTAGAACACATCACCAAGCCGCTTCAGTGATGTAAATACTTCACTCTTTGGTGCCTTTTAGGTTGCCGTGTATACATGATTTTTAGTTAGGATAATTTTATTTTTCTGACCGACATCAGACTTTTACTTCTCTGATTCTGCTAGACCACAGCTTTTCATGATAAAAATTCACTGCTTTATGCAGTGGCATCACTAAAGAAGAGGGGGGGGGGGGGGGGCATTGCCTTGGGAGTTGCTGACCCTAATGACGAAGCTGACTGTATGGGAAAATTTGTGTGCACTGTTTATCCTCAGACCTAGGTAAGATGAAAGTTATCTACAGGAGATAGTGCATATACTTTGATGTGTTCATCCAGTCTGCTCTCTGGCCACCACCAGAGAAGAGGGGAAAGGGGAACTCCCCTCTCACCGGGACCCTGTTTTGCGTGTCCAAGATGTCGCCATTCTCCCTCTAGAGTGTAGAAGATTGTAGATGATTAACCCGTCACACAAAGTTCCTAGAAAAGCAGCTTCCCCCCTCTCTCTTCCGTGGTGGTGCGATATGGATGACGTGACATCAGTGGAAAGCATGTATAAGGCGTGCTCACTGACATTTAGAACACAAATGAGATTGCCCCCACTTTCAAAGCTGAACTACAGAGTGTTTCCCAAGAATATCTCTGAGGTGTAGTTGGTTGCATGATCAGGTTTAGGAGGAATGGTGTATTGAAACGAATAATTAATTTGTCATCTTCAAAAAATAATTTTCTAGTATTTTAGGGAAAATTCATATAAATCTAAATTGCCCAGATACAATTTTTTCTCCTTGATTTGGACAGTGGTGCAATGCTATTATACTCCGTTTCACCTGAAAAACCTTTCCCCTAATCAATGAACTTCCAAGGACAGAAAAAATTGGGGAGAAAAAGCAATATTGTTTGGTGAAAATCAGTAGGGTCCTTGAATTCGGCTGCTCGTCCGCAGACGTTGGTGGAAATACTTGCCCCAATCAAATGTGAAGGGGACGGACAAGTTTCTGTGGGGCGTTTGACTGGACAAAGGAGAGAACGGGGAGCAAAGGCAGAGTCATTTTTCTTCTGGTGCCTTGCCTGTTTTTCTAAACTCGACTGTCCCAGTGGCCCAATACAATGTTGATTTCAGTTTAAAATTATGTAGACTTACCTACACTTCTGTCTTAGAAAATCGTTTTTGTTAACTTGATATTTGGCAAAATGTTTTCCCCCAACGTTCAAAAAGAAAAACAAATAGACCTACAGACCGCCTAGCCAGGCTTTTCCTGGTCAAGCAGAGAGATCAGATCAGTGCCAAGCACTCGGCTCAAGTCAAATCGGGTTTCCCAACTATCTGGGTTGCACACTGAAAGGTTGTTAATCGGCAGCGAAGCGGAGCAAATTACACGTCAGGCGTTTAATCAACGCGAGGTAGACCTGGTACAGTTTGGCCGCACTGACTAACGCTGTAGGGAATGAACTAGGGATGAAAAGTAACGAGGGATTACAGGGGAATTAACTAGCAATTACAATTATTTTAGACAAAAGCAATAAAATACATATTAGTCAAAAAAAGTAATTACCCAAGTATGGTTCAGAGGCGGTTCAGAACTGTAAATCGAGACCGAAAGCCGCAAAAAATTGGAACCGTAAGACAACCCCAGAAAACTGACGGCATTCAAAGCTGGGTGTCCAACCCATTATTCCGGTTCGGGGTCATCAGCTTCGTATTTTGTTCAGGTTCGGTTCTGCTTCGGTTATTCATGCGAAATGCCGGTTCGGTTACCGGTTCCACCGAGCGCGAACCGGTTCATAACTATACCTTAGACTGTGGCCGCCCACGCATTTCCTGCGGTTTTTGTAGTGTCCGGCTATGGCAAATAGCAGGACACCAAAATGGAGTATCATGTTTTCATCACACCAAAACAACATTACAGAATGGGGAAGACACGTATATTTTGCTGTGCCGATGCGAACTGCGCTGGGTCACCGCGCATGCCACGCACACTGCCACTGCTTGTGGCGCTACCGGTCACATTTTTTAATACATTGTATAAAAGCTTACTTTTTTAAAGGTCAATGTTTTTGGTAACATACAAGATATGCCAGATAGCGGTCGCAGCTGCTGCACTCCGTGTCGACGGCTCGAGAGGGCGCCACTAAAGCATGTTCTGGATAGGCTGTATAAAGCGGGCAGCCAGAGCGGCTCGCATTGCATTTGCTGCGCGATTTAACACTAATTCGGCATGACACTTCATTGACCACAAACGACAGCAAACACGAGGTAATGATCAGTTCAGAACGGGAGCCACTTCGCTCTGCCATACCGCCAAAAGGCCAAACCGCAAGCCAAAGCTGCTCGCCGAAGGCCTTGGGAACGCTCGGAACCGGCCGGATCCTCCAGTCCGTACGACCGCAGCGCCGCCGCGTACGTCCGGGACCTTTCTACGCTCGCCGCTCGTTGGCGCCTGATCCCACTACACCTTTCTACAGGGTGATTCAGAGAGAGGCCAGGCACTTTAAATCGACCGCAAAATTCGGTTTCTTAACCTATCGTGCTACACTTTGTGCAGCGTTGTCCACAAATGGTGCATTTTTTTTTTTTTTTTTTTGTAAAATTTGCAAAGAGCCAATTTACCTGAGGGAAAAGTAAAGAAAGAAAAAGGCTTAGCTCCTATGGAAACACAGCGAAGCCACCGGTCTTCCTTCCTTGTATTTGCGCTAATTTCCTCAATATGTGGAGTGCTAGTTCGTCTGCTTTTTGTGCACAGGTTGTGGTGACGTCAGAACGCCGAGCTCTGATTGGCTCTGATTGAAGGATAGTGGGTAGTTCTCGCTGCTCTAAGGTCTACCCACTATCCTTCCATCAGAGCCAATCAGAGCTCGGCATTCTGACATCACCACAACCACTACAAAAAAAAAGCAGACGAACTTGCGCTCCGCACATTTTCTGCCATCGGTTGTGAAATGATAAAAAAAAAAATTCTTGCCTGTCTGGTAACGGTGCGCTTTTTGATGCCTGATTGATCCCATCAGCTTGTGTTCAACTTGGCGTCATCCGCTTTAAAAGTATAATAAAACGCTAGCCATCAGGAGCCGTGTTGCGGTAACGGGGACAGAAGAAAAAATGTACGTTTCATTTTGTTCGGTGATATTGACGTTTTATCACAAATACCATTTCGTGTGAATTACGCGGTCATACAGGCGCTCGGAAAGAGAACCAAAGTAGAGGTCAACTGACCAGCAGGCACCGTATTTCCAAACTACCCGTTTCGAATGACTGAATGACTGAGTTGATGGGTTGAAGACAAAAAGGATCGCGAAAGGCAGTCGAAAAATGGCTAAAATAAAAAAAAAAAAAAAGAAACTGCCCGGGGGGGGGGGGGGGGGGGGGGGGGGGGGGGGGGAGAGAGAGTTGTTTTCCCCAAGCAGCACCCAACTACACTCTGTTTCAATTTAAAGTAATGCTAATACCCCCAAATATTTTTATTTAGTTTTTCAGGCCATTTAATATGGTGTCAAAAAACTACCCAATCAATACTTTGCTACAGAGTCGCGTATAATTTTAATAAAGCCAAAAAAAAACGCAACTGCTCGAAGCCGAAACATGAGCACGGAGTAATGATCATGTCTATTAGAGAGGAGTGAGAAATACAGACGAGGAGTGAGTTGCCGGAAGTCACGTGACTACACCCGACCTCGTTTTTTTTTTTTTTTTTTTTCCTTCGTTTTTTGCGTTGTGCGAAGCAGACGACAGTTTTAACATTGCAATGGTCAAGCACGCAAAGAGGAACTCCTCGCTCGCAGTAATGCTGCCAGTCGACTGTAGATCAGAAAGTTTGCTGCCAATTCCCTGCTGCACAGGCCAAGGGCGTAGTTTATGGGGCTTCCGCCCCCCCCCCCCCCTCCCCCCGAAATCAAGCCGACCCTATAATATACACATGCATTTTGACCCACTTCCCCCTCAGCGCACACCAAGTCATAGACATCCCTGCCACCTCAGCCCCCCTCCCCCCCCTCCCCGCACCCCCCGAAAGAACTTCCTGGCCACGCCACTGGCACAGGCACTCCTCAGGCTCGAAGTCGGGCAGCGCCACATATTCGCCACATTCGCACCTTGTAAAGAAATCGTACGCGTGCAGATTCAACTCGAAGTACGCAGTTTGCGTGTTTCAAGCTCTTACCATTTCGTGTTGGTAAGACGAGCGATGGTTCTTCAACCAGGAGAAGGGGCGACGACTCGGCGACGTCACCGTGCGAATCAGCTTGGCGGTCGGGGCGTGTCTTACGGAATACATCCTAATTGTTTTGATCGGTAAAACATTTCAATTTCGAAGCTAGACAGATTCGTGGGAACTGCGAACGACAGTTCTGATTAGGGATGCCGCGAACCACCCTAGGTT